TTCAGAAGGAAAGGGGCCTGAGGTGCCGACTGTGTCCTGGGTTGGGGGTTGGGGGTCGGCCCCTTCCAGGGGCAGGAGGGCGGGTTCCCTCTCTGGTGCTGCTTCTTGCAAGTCTTAGAGGAAATAAAAAGGGAAGTGAGAGACTGGCTGGTGTGCGCCTGTCTTTGGTGGTGGGTGGGGGGTGTCATCCCACACCCCCATCCTTCTTCACCCAGGCTCAGCTGGGCATTAAGTAGGACACTTGGCATGCCAGCCTGTTTGCCTCTGGCTGTCTGGCTCACCTCCCTGTTCCCAACCATGCCCTGCCCTTAGTGCTTGGAGGGAGTCCAGATTCTGCCCCGTACTTCCCGGGATTGGGGTACATCCAGGAAGCTGGCTCTTCTCCATACAGAGGATTAGGACAGAATGCTTTAGAAAGAATGCTAAGGTATGACTCAAACTTTCCCACCATAGCATCCCTAGGGCCTGCCGAAAGTAACTTTTTTGGAGTCTCCTATTTTATCTTAAAACTTTATGCAAATCTTGAGCTTCCATGTTATACTATATTTACATTTACCTTTAACATTAAAGTGAGGCTTTAAAGTAAATAAATAAAGTGAGGCTTTAAAATTCTCTACATCAAGAGAAGACACAATCAGTGAGGACAAGAGATACTGCAGAAAGACTACCTTATTTATCCAGCCCTGCACCTGCTTGCGTACCTGGGACATAAGCCTTGGAGGTTAGAGCAAGTCCCCGAATGAAGGGAAAACTAACATTGGTTTAGGGTCTGTCTGTTCTACACAGCTATCTCATTTTATCCAAACTATAGCCTAAGAGGTTGGTGGTGTCATTCTTGTCGCTCTAGGAAACAAGCCCAGAGAGTTTAAGGCACACACCCAAGGGCATACAGTGGTAGGTGGTGGAGCTCAATTTGGAACCTCGGCAGTCTGTGGAAAGGACAGCTCTGCAGAAAGGAGGTTCCAAGCTTCCAGTTCTCAGCTGCTCCTGGGGCCAAGAGTGACCTCAGAGGCCTTGGCCATCCCCCCACCTCCAAAGGTTGACTTTGTAAGACAGCATTCCAGATACAGTCATTTTCCCTCCCTTTATCTTTGTTTCTCTTGAGAAGTTAATAAGAGAGCCCGACCCCCCTATTTTCAAATAGGTAAACCTGTCCACAGGGGTCTGGAGACTTGGCAAAGTCACATCGCAGATCCCTGCTGCTCTGAGCGCAGACTCCCGACTTCCAACACTGATTTTTTTTTGTTTTTGCAAAGTACAAAATCAGAATTGGACAGCACCCACCAACGGGTTCGGCTGGCTTTCAGTGGGCTTGCCGGGGTCTCTGCACTGTCTGTCTGGGATCCTCACTTTGCCAATAGTCTGGGGAGGCTGAGCGCGAGCCAGGAGCGGGCGGGGGAGGGAGAAGGGGGAAGCGCCACGTTCGCGCCAGGTCCTTGGTGTGCCCAGCAGGCGGCGCTGCGTGGCTGCGGCTGGCGACGAGGGTGCGGGGGGGGCGGCGAACCAGGAGGGAAAACCCCTGCCTCTTCCCGGGTCTCGGGCTCCAGAGCCCCTACCTGGTGCTTGCTCTGCCGGTCCTTTAAACTCTCCCTACACCCTCCCCGACCCCTATCCTTGCAAGCGTTATCTGCAGCCTCACCGACCCTCGCAACGGTGGTGGTGGTGGTGGTGGGGGGGTCTCGACGCTTGCCGCTGACCAGCCGGACCCCGGTGGGAATGGAGGCAGGAATTCCGGCCTCCTAGGAGAAGGGCGTCTGCTCACTCCCCCACTCCCCGGGGCTTGGGGAGGGGGCTGGGCAGGGGCGGAAGCGAGCTGGAGCCGTGTTTGTCGCGGCGCTGCGGAGTGGAACAGATGGCTGGGGAGGGGAGAGGGTGCGTGGCGGGGAGGAGGAGGGGTGCGGGGGCCGGAGGATAGGGAACGAGGAATTTCGATGCCCGGAGTCTCCCAGGAGAAGCCCCCCTCCCCATCTTTTCCCAGAAAGGGGGGCGGATATGCGCCTGCCTTTTTTCCGGAGAGCCCTGGCCTCTGGCCTGTGGCAGACCCTGCCGCGCAATCCTCCGCCCCAAGGCGCGCCCCTCACCCCCAACCCCCCACCGCAGGACGGGGTGGTGGGGTCAGGACCGCGGGGAGCGGCCCGGGTCGCGAGGGTTAATGGGGCCGCCCTCCCAGGGGCGAGGGGGCGGCGGGAAACGGGCTCGGGGTGGGGATGGAGTTCTGGGATTGCAAATAGCAAAGGAAAAACGTGTTAATTGGAGCTTTATGCAGATGAGCTAGGACTGGGGAATGTGGGGTAGAAGGAGGGACAAGGTCGGACTTCGAGGAGCGTTGGTGGGATCTGGCCAGGGGAGTGATTGATGCCTATCCAGATATCTGCGTGTTGAGCCTCCGGGGAGGGCCGCTGGTGCCTGGGGATGAGAGGCTTCCTCTCTGACCCCCGCCCCAGAAACAAGGTGGGGGCTCTCCAGGGTCTCCACATCCTGGGTCTCAGATCGCCACTAAGAGAGGGCTGGGGCCGGGCGCGGTGGCTCAAGCCTGTAATCCCAGCACTTTGGGAGGCCGAGACGGGCGGATCACGAGGTCAGGAGATCGAGACCATCCTGGCTAACACGGTGAAACCCCGTCTCTACTAAAAAAATACAAAAAACTAGCCGGGCGAGGTGGCGGGCGCCTGTAATCCCAGCCACTCGGGAGGCTGAGGCAGGAGAATGGCATGAACCCGGGAGGCGGAGCTTGCAGTGAGCTGAGATCCGGCCACTGCACTCCAGCCTGGGCGGCAGAGCGAGACTCCGTCTCAAAAAAAAAAAAAAAAAAAAAAAAAAAAAAGAGAGGGCTGGGCGCACCCTGCAAGTGTCTGCTTTGGTTTCTGGCTGCTGACCTGTCTCACCTTGGCTGTGGCCCCCTCCTTCCCGGTCTGGCTTGGTCTCCACTCACTTTGCCTCCTCCATCTGTTATTCCCCACACCTGGCAACACCCTTTCCACTCAGGATTGTCTGAAACCTTCCCCAAGTGTGACCCCTTCCCAGTTTGCATTTTCTCGTCTGCCCCTCACGGACCACTCCACCTTTGAGGCCTGTCTCAAACTTTGGAGTGCTTCATAACCCACCTCCACCTGCTAAAATGCAGATTCCAGGGCCCCGTTAGCTATCTGATTCAGCAGATCCGAGGGGCTCAGGAATCAGCTTCCTACTTAAATCAGATGCAAAAGGCCCCTATTTTGTAGAAACACTGGGCAAGGGATTGGTGGGCTGGAAAGATTGGGCAAGTCTCCTTCGACAGCCCCCAGCCCTCCTCAGTGCTCATCTCTCCACAGAGGAGAATTGAAACTCTCACCAAGTGTAGTCCTCTCTGCTTCTGTGTGATGGTACCAGGTGTGGAGAGGATGGACAGACGGAAGGAAGGAAGGAAAGAAGGAAGGAAGGAAGGAAGGAAGGAAGGAAGGAAGGAGGGAGGGAGGGAAGGAAAAAAGGAAGGAAGGAGAGATGAAGGAATGAGTCTGCACCTGGCTCTTCTCTCTCTGAGCAGGGTCTTCCCTTCCTCTCTCCACTGCCCACTTCCCTCCCCTCTGCTAGGGCTTTGCCGTCTATCCTCCTCTCTCACTCCACCAGCCTTGCTCACTTTCTTATCTCCCTGCCACCTCCTCACCTGAAGTTTCTACAAAGGCCAAAGGATCTTGAGGTGGGGAGTTTGGGCCTGAAGGGAGAGGGAAGAACCAACCAAAGCTCCTGCCTTCTAAGCAATAGCCAGAGACACCTTTGGGGTTGGAAGAAAAGCCGGAAGAGGGAGGCAGAACTTGAGGAAAGAGAATAATCACAGCAAGCATGTAGGTCACCTTGCCATGGGCTAGTGCACTGAGTCCCCACAACAAATTGATTTAGGCTGGCACTATTGTCCCCAGCTTACAAAAGCAAAATAAAACAAAACAAACAAAAAAACCAAAACAAAACAAAAAACACAAAACTCTAATGTTCAGAGAGGTTAAGTAACTTGCCCAAGGTCACACAGCTTACTAGTGGGAGCATAACTAGGTCATTCACCCTTCTACTGTCCCCAAACCGTTTCTCCAGAGGCCGCTGAATATCTGTCCCAGGCCTGCCCTCCTGCAGGGTCAATGGGGTTGGAAAAGGGCATCATGTACAGAGATGAAAGGAGATGCTCAGGTTTCAGAACATTTGACAGGTCTGTCTGGAAGCATTAAAAATTCATATAGAAACCTGACCCCAGCTGGACCTTGGGCCTGCCACCTGGACTATCCCTGGCCTCCTGGCTTCGCAGAGTCCATTGGGAAACTTAGCTTCCACAGTGTCCTGAGACTCCCAAGTCTGTATTTCATAGGAGGGGAGTTCGTCTCGGATTAGGGATCGAAAGTTGGGAGCGTGCAGCTAGGAAAACAGGGCTGAGAACCCTCCCCCTACTCTGGGTGTAAGAACCTTAGAGGCTTAAGGGCTTATAAACCTTATCATCTGGTGTCCTTCTATTCCTCTCCCCAGGCGGTTAGATGTTCATTCTCAGCTCTGGACGACTGAAGCCTGGCTGTGCTTCCCCAGGTGGCCAGTCGGGGGCAGCCGTCTGCTTGGAGGAAGCCAGAGCCCGAGCCTCTATCTGCTGTTTTGAAGAACCCCCATATATGGTCAGAGAGGTGCAGTCTTGGCCTTGGGAAAGGGCTCTAGAGTCTGAGATCTGAGGATGGGGGAGAGGTTTCCTACTTCAGGGGAGACTGAGAAATTTTAGGGGGCACTCAAAGTCGGTTGGTGGGTTTCAGATACATGATAACTGGTGGCCAGTATGATGTAAACGTTCTAGCTGGAGTGAAGGTTTGGGATGAGATTGTGAGAGAAAAGGCTCGAAAAGCAGTTGGTACCAGACTCTGAGGGATCTTTGATGCTTTGCTAAGGTGTTTTACCTTTACCCTATAGGCATCAGGAAGCCATTCTAGGCTCCTGAGTGACATCATAACATATGCAAATTTTGATCAGATGAATCTGGTCACCATGGTATGGCTGGGTGGGAGGGAGGGAGAGATTCCATACAGGAAATCAGCGAGGAGGTTATCGCAGTTTTCTTTTATATTCCAGGCATGAGGTAATGAGTAGCTGGAGCAGGGAGGTGGTGGGGAGAATGGGAAGGAAGGAATAGACTAGGGCTGGGTGGGGGACTGGGTAACTGAATAGATACAGGAAATTAGAGAAAGGGAGGAGTTAATTACAACTAGGCTGGGTGTCTGGCAGATGAAAATGCAGAATGGGGGTACACTCACAGAATGTGGGAGGTGAATGAATTTTGCTTTTTTCAGGGGATAGAGGAATCTCAGACAAATCCCTTCCTTTCTCTGGCCTCAGTTTCCCCATCAGAGTTTCCCCATCAGAGCGTTCGTGGGGGTTGGGCTGAATGGCCTTTAACATTCCTCCTGTTTCAGGCTGTGTGGGTCAAGGTGGTAAATCTGGGTTGTTTGGAGAGCTTGGGGGTCTGTGCATGTGAGATCACTGGAGGTGGTCTCTGTGCTGGGTCCTGATTGAGTGGGTGTGCATGTCAGTGTGCATGTCAGAATTTAGGGGGCACCTGCCGTGGGTGGTTGGTGTGCTTGCATGTGCTACATGGCTCTGCTGGGTGTGAGTGTGTGTGAGAGCTCAGAAGTGTGGGTGTGCACGTGATGGGCGTCCGTGGGTCTGTCTGGGCTGGTGGTGGGAGGGGTGGGGGTTGGTGGAGAGTGGCTTTGCTTCAGGCTTCTTCCTGAGGCTCACACACTCCTCCTGCTTTCACTGTTCTGAAATAGCATCTGGACCGAAGGCCCATGAATATTTCACAATGATAATTCTGTGACCTGGACAGCCTGCCTCTAATTTACCAGCAGCCCCCCTCCCCCTGCCCAGGCCCCAGCAGCCCCTCCTCCACCAGAGCTCTTGCCTGGCTGTCCCCCCAATCCAACCCATTAACCTCCTCAGAGCCAGCCTGATACAATTCCCTGCAAGACCCCAGACTCCGAGCTCCCTGGGTTCCTGGCCAGCTGCTCTCACTCTCCCCCAACCCACCCCACACCCTTAACCACAGTCTACCTGCCTCAGGCTTAGATGCTGATTTCTTCTCATTTCTTCCTCTTCTTCTCAAGATCATTTGACCTACCCAGCCAGAGTCACAGAACCTCAGCCTGCCTCCTCAAGCCCTAGCATCTAGGCCCCCTCTGTCTTTCTATTCCCACCTCCCAAGCTAGATTTTTTTCTTTCTTTTTTTCTTTTTTTTTTTTTTAAAGACAGAGTCTCTGTCACTCAGGCTGGAGTGCAGGGGTGTGATCTTAGCTCACTGCAATCTCCACCTCCTGGGTTCAGGCGATTCTTGTGCCTCAGCCTCCTGAGTACCTGGGACTCTAGGCACCCACCATCACGCCTGCCTAATTTTTTTGAATTTTTAGTAGAGACGGGTTTTCCGTCATGTTGGCCAGGCTGGTCTCGAACTCCTGACCTCAAGTGATCTGTCCACCTCAGCCTCCCAGAGTGCTGGGATTACAGGTGTAAGACGCCACACCCCACTTCAAACTAGATTCTTTATAAAAAATGTTTAAGAGACTCGGTCTCGATATGTTATCCAGGCTAGTTTCAAACTCTTGGCCTCAAGTGATCCTCCCACCTCAGCCTCCCAATTAGCTGGGATTACAGGTGCAAGCCACCACACCCAATCTAGCCCAAGCTAGATTCTTAACCCCAAATTCAAACTACCAAACTTCTCTCCAAGTGCTCAGTCTGATGAGACTTACCCCTAAATTCCAATGCAAGTACTTCTTAGCCTGAGCCCTTCCCAGTTCCCAGCCTCTCTTCCACACACCAGAAAGATGAAGGTTCTGATTGTACCTCAAGCCAGTCATGTATCCCAATTTGGGATTCCTGTCCCTCTGATCACCCTAGCTCCTCAGTCCCTCTTCTAGCCTGTTTGGAAACCTGCTTCTCTGACCTGGTTCATCCCTGATGGCTTCTACCTCACAGGAGCTGAGAGAGAGACCACATATCCTCAGGGTTGCTGTGTGCAGGTGTGTAGGCTGTGCACTGCAAAAGGGCAGTTAGCCAAGGAAGCAAGTGTGTGCTGAAACCCAGCCTTGGTCTCTGTTTGCTAAGATGTTTGCTCTGGCATGGGGCTGCGTTTCCCTGAGGGAGCAGTGCCTTTTTCACATTTACCCAAAGTCATGTTTGGGCTGTCTGTGATCAGGAGTGTGTACATGATTCCTCCTTGCAGAACTGCTCTTGTTTCCTGAAGGAACAGGGTCTGGAAGAAGGCTGTTAACCAGCCAGGAGGGCTTCTCCAGGCTTCGTTCCTCAGGCGCCAGACAACTCAGGGTTGGCTGCCGCTCTTCCCCTGGACAAATGAAGAGAAGAGGTGCCACCAGCACCCACTCTTGGCTGCCAGACTGCGTCTCACCTGGAATGCAGGGCTTCAGTTCCTCATCATGAGGGAGAGCGCACACCACCTCCAGCCACCAGGAAGCTCTCTGATGGCGTGGGAAGGCTCTCCTTCTCCCACCCTCTTGGCCCGGAAATCCTTACATTCTGAGACCTCATTCCACTTTTGGGGTCCCAAGTCAAGAAATCTTACAGTAGGTAAAATAATAGAATTTTTTAATAAATTTTTTTCCCAAACAACTTCTTTTGATCTTCACCACGCAGGGGCCACAGTGGAGAGGAAAGTTCTCTCCAGGTGCCCTAAAAAGTGTCCAGGGTAGACTTAGGAGAAAAGTATTCCTCCAGTGTCAGGAGGTTGAGGGGACTAGGGTAAGCAGGGGTCAGGATCAGCCTGGCCCTGACTGAGGCATCCCCCAAAGGGTCCTGGGTGGGGCTCCCTGGGGGAGCTTCCAAAGGCTCTGCTGGTGGAAGATGCTCTGCAGACAAAAGCCCCTTGGGGTCCGCTGTGCGCCCTTAGGAGCGCGGGTCAGCGGCTGCCTGGGGAGCCCCACCCTAGCCATGGGATGGGGAAGAATTAATGGCCAGAGTTGGAGAGGGCAGGGCTGAGCCACCACACGCGCCCTCTTGGGGCTGCCATAAGTCAGGACAGCCCAGGAGGCAGGCAAGGAGAGGAGGCCTGGTCCCCGGGGAAGGAGAGGAGCTGGGAGGGGAAAGGGAACCAGCAAGGCCAGGGGCGGGGGCGGGACTGGGGCCGGAGCCGCAGCCCCGGGTGGACGGGAAGCGGGGATCGGACACTGGCCTCTTCAATCTCAGCACCGCAGTCAGAGGTGGTGGGGCACCAGGAGCAAGAGGCAAAGCAGAGGGCTGGGGAGCCCGGCCGAGAGCGCAGGGCCTCGGGAGTCCGGGGACGCCTGGCAGGCAGCGCCGGGGCACGTCTGCTCCCCACGCTGGTCCTCACCCCCGTAGCCACCCCAGTAGTCATCCTCGGTGGGCGCGTCCCCGCCCTGGCGCCCCTGCGAGTCTTCGGCGGGCAGATCTCGGTAGAGGGTGGAGGGGTCGGCGGGGGGCGCCCCGGCGTCTGCCACCCCGTACAGGTGGTTGGAGGAGCTGTTGCCGCGGGCGCGGCTGCCCGGCCGCGTGGGTGAGGCGGGAGGACACGCCTGGAAGTCGGCCTCGCGGAGCGCGCGCAGGTCTCGGCCCTGGCGCTCCGGGGGCGTGGCGCAGGTCACGTCGGAGCTGGACACGCGCGCGCGCTGGAACCAGGCCCAGAGCGGCCGCGCGCGGCAGTCGCACGCCCAGGGGTTGGCGTTGAGCCGCAGGAACTCGAGCGAGGGCAGGTCGGCGAGCGCCTCGCCGGGCAGCGAGGCCAGGCTGTTGTTGAACAGGTAGAGGATGGTGAGGCGGCTGAGGCCGCGGAAGGCCGCGCGGTGCACGCCCTGCAGCCGGTTCCCGTGCAGCAGCAGCCGGTCCAGGCTGCCCAGGCCGCGGAACACGTGTTCTGTGAGCAGCCGCAGGCGGTTCCCGTGGAGGAAGAGGTGGCTCAGGTTGGCCAGGTCCGCAAACAGGTCATCCTAGGTGGGGTGGGGTGGGACACGGAAGAATAGAGTGGGCCTAAGGCAGGGTGCGGACCCCGCTGGGGCCTGGGCCGAGGGAGGGAAGGGGGTGCACCGTGGCAGAAGAGAAAGGGTTGACCTTTTGATTCATTGCATCCTGGATTTGAGTTCTGCCTCCTCTAACCTATTTGCTGTGGAAAAAGTGGTATTGGTGAGGTCAGTGGTTTTTAAACTTTTCGGGTGTATTAGGATCCCCTGCGGATCTCTGAGTGGGCGGCAGGGTGGGGGGCAGAGTTTCTGATTCAGGAGGTTTGGGGTGCAGCCTGGGAATCCGCATGTCTACAGGCTCCCCAGGGAAGCCAATGCGGCCATGGCAGGACCACAGTTTGAGCTTCAGAACTTATGGTTTGGTGAAGTATGGAGACTGGGGAGCCAGCCTTTCTGATTTCAAATCTTGGATCTATCATTAACTGATGCCACCTTGGGCAAATCACTCAGGATATCTGTGACTCAGTTTCCTCATCTGTATAATGTGGAGGTTAAATTAAGCAGCATGTATGAAGGTGCTTAGAACACCTTTCCTTGTGGCGTTCCATGAGCTAGCCATTTTTTTTTTTTAATTTTTGTTTTTGTTTTTGTTTGTTAGCCATTATTCTTAAGTTGGCCAAGCCAGTCATCTCTCTGTGCCTGTTTCCTCATCTGTAAAATGGGGATGAGTGTACCTACTTCCTGGGTTTGTTCTGAGGATTCCAGAAGATGGTTCACATAAAGATCATATGAGGGCAGTGCTGGACACATGCCCAGCACACAGGGATTCAGTCCAATGATGAAGCCCACAGACTCAGCACTTAGAGCCCTGGTTCAAAATCCAGCTTGCCTTTTCCCTAGCTGTGTTATTTTAGGCAAGTTTTAACCTCATGGAGTCTCAGTTTCCTCAGTATGTGTAACATTCCTTATTATGTATAACTCCCTCAGCAGGCTAAAGGAGGGCTGGATGATAAAATGCTGTTAAGGGTACAGTATCTGGCAGGTGCACAGTCAACCATCAATAAATGGTGGCTACTATGACAATAGAGGCTCAGTTAGAATTGGGTCCTGTCCCTTTTCTTTAAAAGAGGAGCTCCCTGGGGGAACCAAAATCCTGCTACTAGGCTGGGCATTGCGGTGAGGGGCATCAGCTCCACCCCCAGAGGCGGCAGGAGAGGAGAGGAAGGAAGCCGCATTGTATTACTACTCCCCTTAGAGGCGCTGTCCCACCTGCCTGGGGCTAGGGAGTCACCTAATCAGGCCACGTTAGTGTGGAAAGGACCTTGGAACTGTGGTTCAGAATTAACGGGGGTGGAGGGGGGTGTGGCCCACGGTGGCAGTGGGGACTCCTGGACTCTGCATTATAACCACCTCACCAGGGTTAGTGAGCTGATGATCAGCTGACTTGGGAGCTAATGCCTTGGCACCCATCAGCCCATCTCACTTTTTTAGAGGAGAGCACCGGGGCTCAAAGAGATAAGGGCTTGCCAGCGAGGGGAGCAGGACTTCAGCTCCCTGACCTCACTGCCTTGAGGTCCTCCCTTCTTGTGCAGGGCATCACTGTGGTCAGCAGGTTCCAGGAGGTCCGGGTCTCAGAACAGGAGCATCCACTCTGCTCAGGCCAGCTCACCCCGGGGGGCCTGTTCCCTGACTGTGGCTCTCCCTCCCTCACTGCCTGGGGAGACACTCCCCTCCCCGTGCCTGCCACCCAGGAGCCTGGTCAGAGGCCTCAGGTTGGGGGAGGGCGCTGACTCCCAGCCCACACCCACAGCCTCCACCTTCCTGTGCTCCTGCCTGTTCTCGCCCCCTCCCATCTGGCTTCCGCCCTCTTCGCTACAGGAACTGAGCCTGCCAAGAGCCCTCCTCTTGGCCACATTGAGATCCGTCCCCCTCAACCTTCTCGGCTGCCTCTGACACCAGCGTTCTCCGCCCCCTGCTGCCACCACCCCAAATCCTGGCTCAGGCCTCCAGCTGGCTCCTTGCACCTCCCTGGCCTCAGACTGGCTCACCATGGCCTGGTGCTCTTTTTCTCTTCCAGGCCCATCCAGGGGGTAGGCTTGGAATCCCTGCCACTCAAACACCTAAATAGGGTTCCTCTTTTTATGGAGTGTCAGCAAGAGTAGGACACACCCAGAGATGTATGGTCAGAGGATCGATAAGGGGCCAGGGGTGGGGGGAGAGGGAGCAGGGGTAATTCACATTTTGGGGACCTCAGGAGGTCAGGAAGAGTAGACCAAAGCTTCAGAGATCCTAGGGAATTCAGGTACCTTTGACCCACAGCCCCAGGTTTTGGCACACAGAATTTCTTCATTCCAACCTCCTCTCCTCTCCTTTTGTTTCTCTGCAAAAAGTCCTGCCCCTCCCTTCTCTGAGCCTCCACCTTGGGGTCCATTGCCCCCTCCCGCTATCCAAGCTGTTGCCAAATCCCGTTGCCACTTCCTTGACTGTAGCTCTCAAATCCGGTCCTTCCTCTCTCCCCTGTTAAAACCATTCTCTGTGCATTAATAAGCTCTTGACTTTCACAGCCCTAGCTCTTCCTCCACCCCTCCCTATCTCCCCTCCCTCTGGGCTGAGAGCCTCTGCTAAAGTCATCCTTTTCCATTTCGAAAACCACATTTCCCTCGCCTCCCCACTGGCCGGTTCACAGCTCCCTGCATCCATTTGGAATCTTAACGCGGCATCCCTGCCCGCTTCCCTGACAGCATCCTGTTCTTAACCTTGCCTCCCTCCAAACTCCCAGCTCTTGGCTCTGACACTAATCAAATCAGCTGCTGGGCTGTGTGACCTTGGACAGCTCCAAGCACCTCTCTGTGCCTTGGTCTTTTCATCTGTGAAACAAGGGCCTTGGGATAGGTGATCTTTAAGATCCCATCCGCATCTGATTTTTATGAATTGGTGAGTTCTGGGATGTGCCTCATTCATTCAACAGAGCTGTACCGAGTGTCTACTCTGTGCCAGGCACCCCCGCTCACAGAGCTCATCAGTCTAGGATGGGTATCATCGTCATCATCGGCGTCAGCAATGTCAAGCAGGTAACTTACTGAGCTCTTACCGTGTGCCAAGCTCTGTGTTACACAGATCCTATATAGTAACTTAATCGTCACAACCCTATGAGGTGGATACTATTATTATCTCCGTTTCAGAGATTAGGAGAGGGAGCCTCAGAGAAGTGAAGTGCCTCGCCTAGGGTCCAACAGCTAATATGCAGTAACGTGGCTCCCAACTCCAGAGACGACTGAACAACTGCACTGTGGAGTCAGACAGACCTGGGCCAATTCTAGGTCACGTTCCTTACTAGCTAGGTGACCTCGGACTGTGCTTTTATTTTGCTGGGCTTCAGTTGGTGTCCTCCCTGGTAAATGTTAATGGATAGCTACCATTCATTGGATACTCACTTCGTATGAGACACTGGGCTGAGCTCAGTAGTGTCTCCTTTAATCCTCACAACCCCTGCTCCCCAAGGTACAGGTTATCCCCATTTCACAGATGGGTCAATCGAGGCACAGAGTGGTTAAATAACTTGCACAAAACCATAGAGCAAATTGGAGGTGTGGCTGGGATTTAAACTGAGATCTGATCTGCTTGAGCGTAAAGACTGTTTTTAAACCATTCAGGCCAGCCGTGTACAGTGGCTCATGCCTGTAATCCCAGCA